GAGAAGACATGAAAAAGATAAAGACATGCTTTGTCTTTATCTTGGCAAATAATGAAATTCCTTAAACTATTTCTAACAGTTAAGTAACTTCAAAGTCTCTCTCAAAGGTTTCCATTTTTATGTAGCTTACGCCCTTAGTCCTTGCACCCAGGAGGCAAAGGTAGGTAGATCTCTGTGAGTTCAAGGCGAGCCTAATTGATCTACACAGCAAGCTCCAGAACAGCCAGGACTACATTTGCCTATAGTTCACTACCAAATCTAACAATCTTCTCTCCTTTGTATATTTTATTTATTTGTTGATGGCTGACAGAGCCCACATCTAGCATAACTTACCAAAGTTTTGCAAAAGTTATCACAATTATGCAAAATAAGTGAAGGCACTGGATAGGGCAGCCTGTAACTTCTGTGCAATGTCTGCGATATGCCGATGGTAAAATACGTGACCTTGATCTTCAAATTCTTCCAGTTCATCTGTTCCTTTCCTTGCTCTGGCAGTTGCGTTGGACTATTTCCAAAAGCAGACCTCATTCAGCTGCTTGGTGCAACCGCTTCTGAACGCAATCCAATTCCCTCCACCCTTTATCGGAAGTTCTGTCTCAAGGATAACACTCTTGGTTTTAGTGGTGATTAGACCCCTGACCCTCTCGGCTCCACTGATTTTTTTCAGCAGTCACTGTAATGCCTGCTTCTGTGTTTACTTGTGATTTGTGCAGGGGGCAGTATCACGAAGCATAAAGATGTTAAAGGTATTTACTCTTTCATTTTTCTCTCACCAGTGGGATGGAGTAGGACCTCTTCCAGACTGTGCAGAACCACCAAAAGGGATCCAGATGCTGTGGCACCCATCCATAGTCAAACCCTACCTCACACTGCTCTCTGAGTGCTCAAACCCAGACACGCTGGAAGGGGCAGCGGGCGCCCTGCAGAACTTGGCTGCAGGGACCTGGAAGGTATGGCTAGTTCATTGCAATAAAAAAAACAATCTGGAATTAGGAGTGAGCGAGCCTTAAAAACAATACAAGTATAGGTTTGAAAAATGCAATTCTAATAATTATTTTATAACATTAGAGAAAAAAAAACAATTATAGTGTGCTGTTGGGCTTAGAATGCCCTTAAATTTTGTTTCTCTTAGGTGCTCCAGTGTCCTTGAAGACCATTGCAGACATAACAGTCTTGTAGATAGAAGTACAGCCAGTGAAATCACTGTGAAATGCTTATAATTCTACGTGGATAGCTAACCTGCTTCTCTTTCAGAAATTATTATAATTTGTTGATGTTTTGAGGCATTGTCATTGACCACTAAGTAGGCTATATGTAAACATCTTTTCTTAAAAAGGAATGTGAACCTATGAACAGTGTTGTGTCAATTCCTAGCGCTTAAAGCTGAGAACCCCCTGCCTTTTAAAAGTATAGAGTTTTCTGAAAGGATTCAGCAAGTGAATGAGTTTAAGGACCAGAAAGAGACCCCTTTCCTCCAAGGCGTTACAAACTGATATTGCTCCTGACTGATTTTTTTTTTCATAAGTAATTACTAGCCTTTCGTCTTTGGGTAGAAAAGATGCTCCTTAATTTAAAAAAAAAAACTCCATGCATATATTCACTAACACTTGCATGTTCCAGCCAAACCTGTTGAAGAAAAACCATGGTCCCTGAGAAAGCTGAGGATGTGTAGGGCAGAGATCAAGAAAAGAAAGCGTTGAGGTTTGCATCATGTTCAGTTCATTTAATGCCGATGCCTGGATTTGGAATGTTTGTGATTACTTTTTTCCGTTGACATCCATTCTCTTTAAAAACACGTTCGCACTGACACATAGACGCACACAGTATTCAGAATCTCAGTGCCAGCGATGCACCGGGCACAGTGTGGTCACGCATCATTCTGCTCATACGTTCCCGTGTCTGCCTTATTCCTCCTCTCATTCTTCCTTTCTGCTGCTGCAGTCCGAGTTTCTGCAGTCCCTTTTTCCTCATCTGTGCCATCTCTGGGCACAGCCGGAATAACTGCTCTTGAGGTTGCTGGTGGGGTGGGTAAGCTCACCTCTTCTCTTGAAGACCATAGGGATAACCAAAACTGATCTTTTCATCCCACCCATGAGGCACCCCAGTGTTTAAAGAATTCAGGTTGGGCAGGGCTGCAAGTGAAGTTGTATCTTATTTTCAAGCAGAGATTGGGAGAAAAGTTTTAAAAGAAGAGTTGCACGCTTCAGAAGGCCAGGACATAGCATGCCACACCTTAGAAGAAGATACAAAGAGAAGCCACTCCTTTAACTAGTCCTCGGATCTTACAGTTCTCTAAGCTTTCCTGGTCTCAGAAGCTTTGAGTCAAATCACAGTTAAAACCTAGGCTGGCCCCATCTTTCCCGAGCATAAAAGCCTAGGCAAATTATAGCTGTCCTGTGTGCCATATGACATCTCCTTAAACAGAGATCTCTGTGACTGCCTCGCTCTGGGGCATTCGGAGACATCCGGGCACTGGATGCAAAAGCCTCGCTCTGCAGCATTCGGAGACATCCAGGCACTGGATGCAAAAGCGTTAGGAAATGGAATAAATCAAACACTTGTCTCTCTGTGAGATCGGAAGCGCTCACACACCCACTGCCTCCTTCAGGCTTCCTTTCTGCAATGCCTGAACTGGACAAGCTTGAGTAACAGGGTTCTGGGGTGAACCTAACGTGAGGCATGACAATTTAGTTAGACAGCAGCAAATCGCACATACCATCATAAGATACGATTTTATTCTTTTGGGGGGTTAGATTTATTATTTTATGCACATGAGTACGCTATAGTTGTCTTCAGACACACCAGAAGAAGGAATCGGATCCCATTACAGATGATTGTGAGCCACCATGTGGTTGCTGGGAATTGAATTAAGGACCTCTGGAAGAGCAGTCAATGATCTTAACCTCTGAGCTATCTCTCTAGCCCATAAGATACGATTTTAAATAATTGTATTCGTCAAAATGCTTTTCTGTTTTTATCATTTTTCGTGTTCCTTGGGAAATTCTCACGTCCTTAGGACATTTACAAAGTGGAGAAGTGTCTTGAGGCGCTACAAGATTTTGAATTAAAGATTTTAACTTAAATTCTCTGTATCGTGTAGTTCTAAAAGTTATGGGGGATAGGTAGAAGACCTAAATCAAGTCTCTGGAGTCCTCCTGAAAGTGATGTCTGAGATTAAAACTGCAGAGAATAGAATCAGAGGAAGACTAATGCAAAAGGGGAATAAAAACCAGTGGGATTGAGGACGGTATAGGACACTTTTGTACATGAAACACACAGAGAAGGAAAATGATGGAGACGTAGCTGTAGTAAGTATGCGGGTATGTGTGATGATTCCCCACATAAAGGAGGAGAGAGAGGAGAGTAGTTCAATAAAGTGGGTCTTTTCATATTTAATGAAAACTGTAAATTTATATATCAAGTAAGTTAGGAAACTTCATTCACAAAGACTGGAACCTATACAAAGAGCATTGTAATCAAATTTCTCATAAAGAGAAACTAGTCATAAAGAGAAAATGGTAAAAAGGTATCCAGAGGAAAGAGAATTGTTATGCAAAGCAATGCACTGTGTCTGAGCTCAGCTTACAATCAGTATCACAAGGCAACCATTCAGTAAACCGGAAGCTTGCTGAGCACTGTCTCTTCTCTAGAAGAGAGTGTTCTGGCACTTGAGGCCCTGGACAACTGAAGCCAAGACATACTTTTTCCCTTTTCCCTTGTGCTCTATGTACTGGCCTGTGCTTGGATTAGCAGAAGTGTTCAAACACTAGTGCTTAACCTTAGTAGCTTCTGTCCACACATCTTTTCCATACACAGCTATCAGTTTTGACTCGTAGGGTATCAGTAAAGTTTTTGATTCTTAGGTTATCAATAAGATAATTGTTGCACATCTTTTTCCCAGGCCCATTCTTAGAGGGTCACATTTTATGTCTCATCATTTGATGTTGACACACTTTATATTTTCATCACTCTCTGTCTCTCTATCTCTCTCTCTTTGTGATTGTGTGTGTGTGTGTGTGTGTGTGTGTGTGAGAGAGAGAGAGAGAGAGAGAGAGAGAGAGAGAGAGAGAGAACATGTGTGGAAACAGAAACTTGCAAGAGTTGATTCTCAATCCTTCCACCATATTGATCTCAAAGACTGACCTTGAGTCCTCAGGATTAACAGCAAGTGCCTTTACTTACTGAGCCATCTCTTCAGCCTATGACTTGCTCTTTTACATGAAGCTGATAGAGAGGAGGCAAAGTAGAATGATGGTTTCCCCAGTGCCTATGTTTATCAATGCTCAGTAATGCCACTTGGGTCCACAGTATCTGCCTGCAATGTGGAACATTCGGTGTTTCTTAGTGGTCTCTGTCTTGGGGTAACCAAGGTAGTTACCTGGATATAGTCTGAGTACTTAATTAGGGAGATAAAATTATAGAGTTTTAAAATTTATCTATCTGTATATTTTCACATTATTTCCTATGTTGGATCACTCAGTAGAAGGGATGGAGGACACGTGACATCCCTCCAGGACTTCTGGCAACCACACTCTGCTGCTCTCGGCCTGTGAGCCTGCACATTAGCTCAACACAGTTCTCCCTCTCCACTGTGTTTCTATCCCCGCATGTCCAGAGGATGTTTGTTTACTAATTTTTTTATTATCAATAAGGTAGAGATTAGTAAGGAAGAGAGGAAGGAACTTAAGAGTGTTGAGCTAACAATCCCAGAAAGCTGGATGAAGTTTGGAGAACTATGACCACTGGACTTTTCAAGTGTACATTAGATTACAGACATGAATTAGGAAGTGCAACATTATTACCTTATAACCAGGAACAAAGATGAACCCAAAAGAAATGCAGTAGGTACCCAATGACCCAGTGGCAAAGCGAAAGGGTAGAAAATGTAAATGTGTGTGTGTGTGTATGTGTATATATATATATATGTATATGTATATGTATATATTCATATATATATACATATATATATATATATATATATATATATATATGAATGAAAGAAAATTGGCAGAGACTGTTCCAAAACTCTATTCCTTTGCTTCTCAAAAACAAAAACAAAACAACCTGAGTGATTGTCACAAGGCCACACCACTGTCATCAGGACAGTTGTTATTGGCCATGTCAGAAGATGGAATTTTAGATTTTTATCCTGGATGGACAAAGTAGAATATTGGCTCTTAGAGTGTCGATTTTACCATAAACTCTTCTTCCTTAGCAATTCAAAAAAATGAGTCAGTCCTCTGTCACAGCAGAAGGCTACTGAGTATTGTTTCTGTGCATTTACAAGAATGCATGCATACAGAGATGGTAGGTAGGTAGGTAGGTAGGTAGGTAGATTGGTAGGTAGGTAGGTAGGTAGGTAGGCATGCTGGCCTGCAGATTCTCCATGTATACATAGGAATCAGGCACATTCCAACCACCTACCATACATTTTAGTCACTCTGTTTTGAGGGAAAGGAGATAGACAGTTCTTAGAGAAGAACAGAGATTATTATTACACCAAACACTGGTATATTACTACAATCGAAACATGAAGGAAATCCAATATAAAAACTGAGCAGAAAAATCCTTACTTGACAGAGACGGTCTCAGGTCGAGGGAAATGGCTCAGCCACTTTATGCAGAAAAGTCCTGAGATCAAATTTATAGAATCCATGTAAAGAATCCACTGCAGTCCCATTGCTGACAGGGAGATGGAGCCAGGAAGATCTATGGGGCTTGCTGCAAAGCCAGTACAGCCAGACTGATGAGCCTTAGGTTCAAGGGAAAACTCTGTCTCAAAAAGTAAGGTAGAAAGGGATGGAGAAAGATACCTGATGTTGACTCCTGGCCTCTGTGTGCACCTTCACACAAAAAGTGTATAGACATACAGACAGCACACTCCTACATGCAAAAATAGTTTTTTATCATACATATCCCAGACCATCACAGGGCATACAGTGACATTCGA